AGAGGGAAAGAAGGGCCCGTTACTAATGCTGACAATATCCCTGGCCTTTATGTATATATATATATATATATATATATGTTATGTTATTTATATGGTATCGGAAGCCACCGCAGCCTTGTGGATATGCGTTGATGTCTTCTGTTTTAGCCCTCCTGAGTTGAACTAACTCCCAAGATAGGTAAAGTAATGGACAATTTCCACCGGTTAGTCATTATCACAAGGCTGGCTATACCCTTTTGCCAGTCTTTTAGTAAGACCTCTCATTTCGATGGAGGAAAGGTCACTCCAAACTGGTTGGCAGAAAAGCACCAACTTACACAGGATATTTTGAACACTGTGGGAGGAGTCATGGATCATATAAATCTTATAGCTTGTTGCCACTTGGAGAAAAAATCATATTTACGAAAGCAGGCACAGTCGTCACCAGAACTTCACACTTGTTTCGGTTTTGTATATTTTGGTTGCAGAACATGAGAGGAATGAGGACTATCCGTTTTACTCGTAGAAAGACACTGAAGCTGAACGCGCGTTGCTCGTTGAGCACTACCTCGTTTAGTCAGATGGGCAGTTTCCTAGCTGATTATTCGACCACTAAATTTTCCACGGTAGTATCATTAATGGCTCGATTACCGCCTCGTCACATACCAGCCGTAGAAATCCAAATTTATATGTCTTGGATTAATCACGTCTGGATGAAGTATGGGGATTATATGGGCCCTCACGTTTATAAGTATTTTTTTAGAATTGATCGATGTTTTTATTCCGTTTTCCAAAGTTGATAAGCGACTTCTTTTTATTAGTGCCTGTGGTAACCGGGATTGATTGTGCTCTTTTCTTTCTCCGTGTATCACGTTTGTACTTTTTGCGTGCTGTTTGCTACTACCCTGACCGTATTAGTTAACATTTACGTCGAAAAGAACGGGATAGATAGGTGGATCAGCTCTGTTTCATTGCATCATCGGCTGATTGTATCTCAATTGAGGTTTTGTCACGCTTTTCGAAATTTCATACGCGGACAGCTAATCCGATTCATAAGTTGTGTGAATGTGAAATTCTTTTATCAGTCGCTGCGGTTTTTCCTATTCCGGTTAAATACGAGTGTAGTACAAACAACGGAGAGAAAACTTCTTTTTCGTCTTGACTGTCTTTTTCGTATTGTCGAACTATTGTAGGGGGGGGGAGGGGAGCATTGTGGAATCGAAACGTATTTGCGAATAGAGTTCCGCTGTGCGTAATGCTCTGTAGTACAACTATTCGTTGAAATTTGTCCGGAGTGACCAACGGACAACATGCAGGAGTATGTAATCGTTAATTGTGGAATCCGGTGGATCAGATTGTCTACCACCAGGAGTGTCAACTACCAGGTTATTGGTGATAAAAAACTGTAATGGTGCATCACGACTTCAATTTTCTCGCACTGGATTCTACCGGGGGCTGTTTTGTGGCAAACAAATAAAATTCAGCAAGCTATGCAATAAATCAATTGGTGATAGGACCATTGGTTTTTCACCAGTATTTTCAAGGCACGGAAACTTGTATAACGTTCTCGAAGTGCAGTGTAGTCATATCTCTCTGGAGCTAAAGTGATCTACACACTTGTGTCAGAAGTTCGTCAAGGCGTACAGTATCAGCAGTATGTGAGTTCCGTCTACATATAGTCTCCAACGCGCGTTCTGCCCGCATTCTGTAGATGTCATTCTTCGCGAGTGTTCTTCACTCACTGCACACAACAGGTTCGAGGTATGGACTATGGGCTCATTTGCAGTCTCTACTCATATAAATAATGTGCACTGTATTACGGTACTAATTACTAGAATTGTGTTGGAAAGGACTTAGCATCGGTCAAGAATTTCTGGAATGGGTTCGAAAAACAAGAAAACCAAACTGAAACTTCCTCTGTTGAGTATGATGTTTAGGGCAAATCTATTAACCTTACGGCTGATTGAATTTCACACCTCGTCCACCCAGTGTTCGCGTACAACTCGTGCTCACTCGGCAACTGATTCACCTGTTTCGCTTTCTGCACACACACGGCACCAACACCGCCTTTCCAAGCTTATTCCCAATTGATTTTCACGGGATCATTTGATGACACTGTAGCCCAAAGTGTTAAGTGAACAACTGCTACACATGGACGGTTTCGTGCTCTTGTATCTCGTCAGGTATGCATATCTAGTATTCTATCTGCAGTCACATATGCACATGCAATCCCAATGCGTACTTCTTCCCAGGCGTGTGCATTCGGTCCGTCTGTTCTTCAGGCATTGCTATGGGAATTCTTCATTGAGCTGTTTGCGAGTAATATCTAATCATTCAGGTACTACTAATTGTACGGTCCTCAGCACTCAATCACCACCGAGTCAGAGTTATTCACATCAGTCACGTTTAACCCATCGTGTAATCATTGGCACATGGATTGTGTAAAAAGATCTTGTCGGAACAAACACTTATTTGCTAGAAAAGTATAGATCCGCACCGACAAACA